AATTTGAGTTTCAAATTCATACAAAACTATAGACTTAGTATTTTGACTTCACAAATATCTAATTTGAACCAGTGCTGCATTCAACTCCCACGTGACACAAAAATCGATGTTTATCTGTATTTTTTAATATATACTTTAAAATTAAGAAATTGAGTAATTTATAGTATTAAAATTTGAATGATAATCTACAGTTTGATACCAAATTTAATGACATAAATTCATGAAATAGTTCAATAAAATTTTGAATGCGAATCAACAAACAAAATGTTAAGTTAGTGTATTACTCTAAAAAATCTCACAAATAAGACTTTAAAACACGTGACTAATTTGAGCCATAGATCTATATCAGGTGTCAAGTAACTTAATACATCTTTTACAGTTAGAAAGTAAATTATTTTTCAAAACATCTTCAAGAATACAAGAGATTTGACCAACAATACTGATGTTCTTAAAAAAAAATAAAGAAATATTAGAGATCCTTAGATGGAGTAATTATCTAATTGTCAAACCTTCCTGATGTTTAGTGGACAGAGCAAGAAGTAGGCTTTAAATCACAGTAGAGTATATAAAATGGTTTGAACAGTAATTTGTGGTTTAGTGGGGAAGTTGGGGCTTCCAGCTTCTGTAGAATTGACAAAAGGCATCCAATGGGAAGCTCTTAAAACTTAGGAAGAAATGAAACAGCTGGAATTTTATTTTTGTTTCTTTAAAAGTCATTTAAATTATATCTATTTGAAAGCTAAAGAAATTTTCTTGGATGAAAAGAAGTCAGATAAGCTTAGTTAAGTTTAGTGCATACAGTAGGCAACTGCAAAATATTCTGATGACTCAAATCTTTTACATTATATTTTTATGTTTGTGTGCTCCAAAAACAAATTGACTGACTAGCAACTTAATTATTTCTAATAGCAATCATGATATGCTTTAAATAAGAACACTGTTACTATTATTAGTGATAATGTTTTCATTATCTGATTTAAACATTATTTAATTTACACAAAATACATGTGCGGATCATTGCATGTTTTTAAAACAAACAAAATAGTGACAGCATGGTCAGCTCGACATTAGGGATTCAACAAGTAGAAAGTTTTCATATTATCTTTAATAGGATTTTGTCTAAAATAATTTTTTTGCAAATTGTAGAATTGGTGACCGCGAACAGAAACCTTGAAGAGGTATATCATGTCTTTGAAAAGTAATAAAAACAACAACCTCAAAATAAAAAGACTAACCACGGAAGAATAAGCAATTAGTTAATTGATTAATGAACCCAATGATTAATTCTACTAATCACATGGCACTATAAATAATAAAAACTACCCAAAAACATCACTCACCAACCATAGCCCTGTTTGCTGATGGTAGCACCTTTTTGGAACCAGAGGGAAGCTTCACTCGAGTTTTCTTGGTTTCAGGATTGTGGGAGATAACAGTGGCATAGTTGCCAGAACAACGTGCAAGTCGGCCTCGATCTCCAGTTTTCTCTTCCAAGTTACAAACAATTGTGCCTTCCGGCATTGTACCGACCGGCAGAACATTCCCAACTTGAAGAGTTGCTGAAAAACAAACAAAAATGATGAAATATTTGAAGATGAAAAAGTTTTACACCTAAATGCTTTTGGACACATACAATGATTGAGAAATTAATCAGTTCAATCTTTGTGCAATCCTATTACCTCCATGTTCACATAAAATGTATCCCTCCGATTACACAAATTAACTAGACAATCCAAATCACCTTAAATTTAAATTTCCAAGTTTTAACATTTCACATGCTTCAACATGCTGTTACTTAGAAATGTAAAACCATTTAAAATATAGGTAGGCAAGTTTCAGGGCTGTTAAAGTTTAGCTCCACTGAGTAGATACCATTTATTTCTATAATTATTAATTAGAACTTCTATGTGAAACTAAAAAAACATTGTATAATAATAATATGTCAAACCACATCATATCTGCTATATCCAGTCTTAATGAGGCCTTTTGCCTAATACCAGGATACTTTAAGCCAACTGGAATACAACACAGTAATGGTTGAGACACTATATATATTAGATTATTGGTTTGACAACTGTTACAGTGTGGGAACAGTTATTTACATCCATAATCTCCTGCTGAAACTGTTAATTGGATTGTGCATGCCAGTACTGTTGCTGCCATAACCACCAATGCCATACAGTGGCAAAATAATGGATGGACTACTTCATAATTATCTGTATTACAATTACCAGGACTATTTCTTAATACCAGGAAAAATGGTAGTGTTTAGAAGAAAGTCTAAACATGGTGGTCTAGATTAGTGTTTCTCAACCACTGGTCCATCTAACCACCTTGCCAGTCCATGAAATTTCACAAAAACAAACAAATAGAATAAAATAAAACTGACTGAATAATCATAAGTAAATCATAATGGTTTATCATTGTACTTGCATTTTAGTCCCCCATAACAGTTTAGAGGCAGTGAGCCAGTTCCTGGTATCAAGAATATTAGAAGTGCTTATATTACAAGTGTCTTCACACAGAAATGAAAATGTTTATTTTTCAAGCAAAATGAAAGTAACACAACTTTCATTTAGCTAATAAACAATAGTTGTATGTAATATCTAACAGTGTGAAAGTTTATGCCATGTATACTCTGTGTGTCAAAGTGGCTTTTTCTATTACTCACACACACTAAGTTGAAGGATCTGTACTGTTAAAAAGTTGATAAAAATGTAGTTTTTCAAACTAAAATAATTAGAAACCTGAAAATTAGTCATATACGAGTTATATCAGCTGAGAATTTTACAAATAATGTGTTTATTTCATTTTGTTACCAATAACATATTATAAGTTGATTAGTTTAGAAAGCTTTATTACCAACCGGGCTATTGAAACTTTATTTGTCATACATTAACATATAAATCAGTGGAAGATGCCAGTGCACACAAACCTATACAAAACTGAACAGAGGAAATATTAATATTTAAAAGAAAAAGCATATACACAAAGTTCAGTTTGTATATTAAAACAGTTTTGAATATGCAAATTAGCAAGTCATAAGACAAACAGCTTATATAGAGTAATGGTGGAAATAAATGCATTATAAGTACATTTTAACATGGTTTGCCATTTCTTAGGTAGTGTGGTGACACTGAAAATTAATTGCTCTTGGGAAAAGTAAGTAACAGCTATTTTTGATGCAATATATTCATATATCGAGATCATAAAGATTTGTTCAGATCAGGGATTGAGAATTTCCAAGATGGGAATATCATCTGTAATTAATAGCATTGGAAAACAAAAGAACATAGATCAACTTGGGGCACCAGTACCTTCCAGAAAGAGGCTTACAACAAGTCTTGCTCCAACCACAATAAGCAAATTCCAGTACCTTCTAACAAGTAAGAATCCATGAATACAAAGGTCAGTAGCAAAAGCAGTTGACTTTCCCAAGCAATAGTAAGTAATATAATGAAGAAGGATCTCCATCTGGAAAAGCTACACAAGTCAGGTGTACAAAGGTGACTTTCAAGACACATTCAATCATTGTATACCACAAAGAGCTGGAGAATGAAACATGTCTTCAGGTTATACCTCACAAAGACAAATACCAATCAAGTTGCCAGTAACAGTGCCTATGGAGTATTGAAACTTGCACTGAGAACCATCATCCTTCTACACTAGACAGATATGGAAAGCAGTAGGAAAGAGGGGTATGCTACAGAAGCGACAGCTTTATTAAATACAGTCTTTTGAAATGGGAATGATGCTGGAGGGCATCTGTGAAAATGCACAGATGACATTTAATAAAACAAATCATTTAATATGATGTGTTCAATCTCTGTATAATTGATTTGAAAATATTGGCAGAACTTTCAACCACATATGTACACACACACAGTGACAACAATATTATTATTAAAATTAAGTTTTGCTTCCATAATCTCTCATGTTTTTTGGATATTAAGTAAAGAACCACACTGTTCACTAAACTTCAGATACAGTGTCTTAAAGTGAGTAAACTTTTTCGATCCAGAATGCTTACTATCAGAAGAAACAGAATACAAGATAAAATACTATCATTCTAACTATAAAAACAGTTCTGTAATTAGTTTGAATTATCACTTCTTATGTTTCTAATTGCTCCAGTTCATAGACAGTGTTAAAAGATCTTGTAAAATGAGACAGAAATAATAGTTGGAACCTAAAATTTTTTGCAAGATAAAGTATTCCTATTGTAATAACATTAATGCCAGTTCACTATGTGCTTTTGATCAATAAATGCATTTTTGAAGCTTTAAAGAAAGATGTTTTGGTTTGGGTGTGCAAAAACTTTAGGATCATATAGACTGTAAATAGTATCAGTAAATAAAAAATGTGAATGTTCTGATTCCTAATATAGGAGTGTCTAATATCTTGTTAGCATGAATAAAGAAAAACAATAATAGGAACTAAAGCTATCACTACAAAGTACAACTGATGAGAACAGATATCTCAAAGAGCCAGTTTCATAAAGTTGTACAAAGAGAAAAGTATTTACAAATAAACAAATTTTGAAGAAAGATTGGAAAAATACTAACACCAAACACTATTTTAAAGATTATAAAACTGCTACCTTTTTTCCCACAGTACACAAATTGTCCTGTGTACATTCCTTCAGCAGCAAGAAACAATTCCTTTCTCAACTTATAACGGTACGGATCACGAAAGATAACTCTGGCAAGAGGAGCCCCACGTCCTGGGTCATGAAGGACTTCCTACAGAATAAAGATGGAAACTGAAAACTTCTATAGAAAAAATAATTAAAACTTCAATAATATAGATTAATTATCTAATGTAATATTGGTTATATTCTTAATAACAAAACAATTTACTATATCCTGCACATTAACTAGATGTTGTTAGAATTGTAAAAGATAAATGTATCTTTCAACCTTTTTGCTAGCAATCAGCATAACGGTTAGACTTGACATAGAACCTTATTAGAGAAACAAAAACACAGCAAGTGGAAAATATCCATCTTAGAATTTTTACTTTCTATTTAGTCTCTCACTCTTGCTTATAAACATTTACAGTAAGCTATTAGAATCAAAATATACTTGAGTAATTAACATCTTTAAACAAATTTACTGAAAAAATAACTATTACCCGAAGTTTAATCTCCAACATTTTTCTAACATATGCAAATAATTCAGTAGAATATTGTAACAAGTTAAAGGTTGATTTGTGATAAAAAGACACCCTTTTCAGTGAGTGTAATGTATCAATTTTAGATTGATATACCATATGAAAAAGAAATTAAGAACATTTCCAATACGTTTTTTTGGTCATGTAGATGTTGCCCACCAAACATGGCCTTTGCCATATGGTCAACACTTTTTTTAAGACAGATAGAGAAGTAAATGTACATAAGCATTATATGTTCTTTTGAGTTCAATAAATGCACATTTATGCTAATACAATCAAAAGTAAAAACTGTGTTTAGCGTCAAAATGTAGAAAACATTGTGTGTGTGTGTGGGGTGGGGGGGTGTATTAACTAATGGTGTCTCATAACAGGGAAACTGTTATAACAAAATAAATGAACAAAACATACACTAGACCTCTACAGTATGAAGTTTACTGGTTGTTTTACATGTTATGAAGCAATGACATATTGCTGGTCTTCTGAGAATAATTCATTAGTTTTAAGTGGCTGTACTTTTAATCAAATGACTGACTCTTCAAATGCTAGTTTCCTAACAACTCTCTGAAATGATTAAGCACAGTATATTTATAACTTGGTCACAACTTGCTGTGTTATTACTAAAGAAAGCTTCATTTGACAGTAGGGTGCTGTCAGTGCAAACTTCTAAGCAAGTTGCGTGTTTTCAGTATTTTTATAATGTTGAACATAGCTAATTATAATACAGACTTTAACAGTAAAACATTGAAACAGAAAATTTTATGAAACAAATAAAAAAAATCATTTTTTTCTATACACATAATAAAGAGTCTCATTCTGTGCTGTCAGTGGTAAACACTTCTCCATCTCACCCTGCACAGTTTGTAACATTTTTGTCTTGATATACAGGGCTATCTTGACAACTGATCAGAAACATTTTCCAATGGTGCTTCAGCTTAGCAAACAGTTGGGTCACATTGTTTTTACATCAAACTGTGGAAGTGTACTTATGTGGATGGCCTATCTTTAATTGTTCAAATACCTGCTCAGCTAAAAATTTGTGGGACTTATTTGCCACAACACAATCAAAAACATACTTTGATCTCCTCTTCATGAGGACCAACATTTTTCATACAATACTGAGCACCATGTGTAATCTTAGCCACTAACTGTATACTTGTCTGTATTTAAAAGTTTGAAATATAAATTATGCTACTCAGATTAGTTCTTCCACTTGATGTGACACCTAGAGAGCCAATAGCATGTATTTGCACATTATTGACCCTGGGGTTTCCATGTTGCTTGTATTTTTTTTCTGTTAGTCATTATCTTTATATTCTGTTATCTTTTTTCCCTCTAGCATTTAGTTGAGTTTTCTTTTGAGTTTCTTTATGAAATACTTGCCGACTTTTATTAGGCAGTTAATTTTAACATTAATTTTTAAAGTGAGACAAAATGACAGATTGCAGGTGACTGATGTTTTAGTCATGATAGATATATTACATAACCATAAATAAATCAGCTTCTGTTCACAGGTATGTTAATCAGATGAAGTTTAGAAACAGTATCAATGGATAACAAAGGAAACACTACTAGAAGTTAAATACAGTTACAAATGTACAACATTTCAACAAGATTTTGTCATCATCAGGTTTTAACACTGATCAGGCATTCTGTCAACAGTAATCACATTTTAAATTGTAAACTCATTATGTGGTATAAAAGCAATGAGTAAAACAGCCAAATATTCAGGAGATCAGAGAGCTAGATATTCTGTGCATTACTCAATTTATTGAGTTATAACCAGATAATTTTAAATGTTGTTAACAAGAATATTTTGTGATAATTTCCACAGTTAGGTTTTTCCTAACTTTGCTTGTGCTAAGGTTATATTTTTCTGTTAAGGTTATTTTGTGTAGTAAAACATTTTTGGAAGTTTAAGAGCTGCAGTTTGTAAAAGTCCAAGGCCAGCATTATTTTGGATCATGAGTATATTCTGTTTTACGAGGGTTTTAATAAATATCAGTAGTATCAATTAAACTGAGCCATAATATAATATTCTTTGCTTTTATTTTTAAAGCCTCTAATACTGACAAAGATATACGTATATATATTGGCAAAACAAAAAATAAACTGATTATTAAAACCATCTTTTGTATATAATTATTAAATTTGTTTGTAGAAAAAACAATATTTTATCTATTTTCACTACTGTTTCCCTGATTTGACTGACTTCGTAATCTCTTGTTACGCCACTGCCCATAGTGAAAGGATTAATTGAACTTTACATGGTCAATAATAAAGATTATATGCTTTCAGAGAGCAAATCAACTTTTAGATTGAAATTAAGTTGCACTGTTGCCAAGTTATAGTACTGTTAAAATTGTTCATATAAGCACGCAGGTTATTGGTAAATATTACAAGGCTTTTGTACACAAAATACCAGGTTTTTAAATTAAGTAATAAGATTCTTTGATTAATAATTTTTCTCGTAAAATTTTTCTTTCAGAATGTTGACTGTCCAACATGCAAAGTAATTTTTATTTTAAGGTTAATACTTTTATGCATTAGAACACTTTCAAATTTCACGTGTGAAATCTTTATAACCTCTAAAATTTCACTAATTGCCCAACCCTATTACTGAAGAACAAAATTTTACTTCTAAAGAAATATTTGTTCTTAAAGGTATTCTCATGTTTAAAATACCACCATTTTAGATTCCATACCTTAACAATTCCTTTTATGTAACCATGTCTTTCTGCAAAATCCACAGCACGAAGTTTGGGGGCTCCTTTCCGATGCTTATTGTGACTGCGAAACACACTCCCAGCACCTTTCCTCTGACTTCTAATTACACGTCCCATTGCTCAAACTATTCATGACAATTTGAAAATTGTAATTACTCAATTTAAGAAGAGCTGTCCAACTACAAATATGGGATCATATTTAATTGCATAAGTTGATAAAACTATTATAGATTTAATAGACTTGTTTAATGAAAGTTTGAATTTGTAAGTCTTCATTTAAGTTGCTTTAACACTTACAATACATTATGTGAATCATAAAAAAATGCAAGGGTTTATATGAAGCAAGATTTCAAAAAAAGGATCAAGCTTTCATGGAAAATAATAAAACAAAAATGCAAAATAGTTTTTATTCAGACCGATCACATACCTATTATTGTGCACTTTTAATGTTATCATGCTATAATAATAATAATGGTTCAGATATTTCAAAATGTTAGTGAATGTGGTAAATGTGAGATAGCTGATAAAATACTTAAGTATTTTTTTTTAGGTTTCATACAAGAAGCTCAAAAAATAAAACAGTCAAATACATTAATAAACATATTAAAAAATTTAATATTTTGTAAGAGTATGACAATAACATTTAAAACTTGTTAATAGTCATTTGCTATATATTTCACTACACCTCCTTCAAGAGGCCAAGTTTTATCAAAATTGTCTTAAAGTTATAAAAGGATTTCAAGAAAACATATCAATATAATATACTTATATTCGTATTTATGTTAAAAAAGAAAACTATGTTCATCAATATTGTTGGCAAATATCATAAGACTATATGTATGGCTTTTATTTTACTACTAATTCCAAAGTACAATTAAACTACTAAATTTAAATTTATTGATTAACTCAATCTCAGGCCATTTGAAATTCTAATACGTAACAGATTAAACAAAAAAAATTCATAAAGAAATAGAACTTTACAAAAAGGAATGTAATCTTTTTGATAGCCTTCCCTTGAGTGAATGTAATTTCATCGGAAAAAAAAATTCAAATACTTTAACACTTGTATCAGTAAAAACTTACTGTAAAAAGGGAATTGTCATTCTCAAAAATCATAGTTTATATTAATGTTGCCATTACCTAGAATAGTGTTCAATACAAAATTGGTGTAATAATATTGTTGCAATCTACGTATTTGTTACTAGATGGGTGAGTGAGGTTTATGTACATGCATGCGTTGTTATAACAAAGCCTCAGACTATCTGCTGTGTCTATTGAGGAGAATTGAACCCCTGATTTTAAAGAGTTGTAAATCTGAAGACTTACTGCTTTCCCCTCCAGAACACCTGAGGTTTGCGAATTAAAATACAATTTGTGTGATATAATTTTGATTTGAAATTTAGAAATGTGCATTTTTAAATATTCAAAAGTACTAAGGTTCTGTGGTTCACAATTGTTAGGCCTTTTGTGGCTCTATAGTAACCTACAGAGAGTGGTTTTCTAGCAATCGAAGAACAATATGAAACTACAGGGGCACTCAGTAGAATGCATATCTCTACCATGCTGCATTGATCATATTCAACCCTCAAAAAAATAGAAAAATGTGTCTATGTTTGTCATTATTAATGGACCATTTTTGGTAGGACTATGATGAATAATATTTTACATACGTCCACCAAGTTTCATCAAAACCTAATAATTTTTGACTGAGTTAGAAAGCAAAAATAGTGTGAAAAATCAGTCCTCATTTTAACAGATCAGAAATTTTTCATTTTTGTGGCCACGACCATTCAAAAACTAATCATTTCTATATTGGGTCACAGTCCAAATGTATACCAACTTTTGTCAAAATCCATTCAGCCATTCTCGAAAAATCTTGCTAACAAAACCACACACACGGGGGTGAAAATATAACCTCCATCCACCTTTGGTAGCAGAGGTAACAAAAATAAAAATACTTATCTAATCAGAAAGTATAATAATATTTATTATACTTGGAATAAGTCAATATGAATTCCACAACCCTACTGGAATTATTGGGTTTCACATGTAAAAAAACAACTTGCAATACATTTTTTTTTTAAATCTGAGTATCTTTTGAAATTGCAAGTTTAATATTTTCTTGTATCAATGAGACATTCACCTTCCTCAAAGATTATAGACTTCACATATTTGACTACCTCTTCCAATGCCCATTACTGTTAGGCAAGTATTCTGATGATGTAATACAGTATACAATAGTTATGACATCACATTATAACTGCATAGCATTTATTACATGACGATGATCCACCATCATGCTTGTTACTTCTTTACATTATAAAGCAAATACTCACTATAAACAGATTCATCAGATGAGGATAAAAGTTTAAAGATGAACAAAAGCATAATGACAACAATAACATATGAAATAACTTATGAAGTTGCAAAAGATATTTACTACTTAAATATTTTGGAATATACACATCTATTTTCATCAAGCTATATTAAACAAGGAAAAAGAAAATACAAACTAAATTAATGAAATTAAAAATTTTAATGATAAGTACATTAAAGTTTTTTTGTGGAGTTATACAAGTTATTTACAGTTGGGAGCTCATTTATAATAGGATTGATTCTTTTGAAATATGAATTACTTGATGAATGAAAATGTTAAGAGTATTAAATGCCTGAAGCTGTTATCATTGTGCTTCATCTGTTAATACTACATAATCTCTGGCAAACTTTCTACCCACACTGGAAAAATTATATTTTTGATGTAGAAAATAAAGTAAATTCATAATATAAGTTTATAAATAAATACAATAACACAACAATAGGTAATTGTTTTTTATAGAAGACCTAGTTTAGAGTAGTATTATTATTATTAATAAAGGTTAGTTGCTAGTAGTAGTACTGTACTATTGTAATTTGTAGAGATATTGATAATTCTTGTACCTTCTGAGATTAGCTAATTTGTTATAAGTATTAGGCCTATTTGTTTTAAATTAATATTATTGTCTTGTAACAAATACATTTGATTGTAATCAACACTCATGCTTCACCAGCAAAGGGTGTTCATGCCAGAAGAAAAGTTAGTATAGTTTGACCATTAGACTGTTGCTAAAGTTTAATTTATCACTGCCTCAATTACTTACCTCAAAGTTTTCTCGTCTGTATTCGTAACAACTTTGCATTCAATATCTGGCCTCTTTTTTTAGTGTTATGTTGCTGTTGGAATGACAAGTGTATATTGATAACAGTGCCAAGTTATAAATAATTTTAATAGTAATAGTAACAGTTACTAGTAGTAATACAACTAAATAGTAAAATACTCTCATCTAGAACAACGGAACAAAAATAAGATTATAGATTAAATAAACTTATAAACTAATAAAGTACCGTAGCTCAATAGTGACACTAGTTCTACCAATAAATATACTTTAAGTTGAATACAATTATTTGTTTTCAAAACACATGTTTTAATTATAAGCCTAAAATAATATTGTCTAAACTTAGGTAACCACAAAACATTATATATTTTAAGTTGCGTTCATCTCCAAATTTATGGCCATACAATGTGTATCAATATGCAATATTTTACTAGATGATTTTGAAAAGAAATGGTAACATATTAGAGTTATTTTGCACACAAATGATTAAAAATTAATAAAATTTCGATAATACAAACATATCATAAATAAAATTTACCCCAATAATGAAGATTAAAATAGATTACTTTCAACGAAAAGTTTACCACTCATACCTTGAATAGACGACTGTACAGAAGAACGCTTACGCGCTCCCTCTAGTGTCAAAACAAATAAAATTATGTCATAGTATTTATTCCGATATAGAGAAAATCATTATATTTCCTTCGTATGCGTAAATATAAAACAATCTTAACAATACAAAACTAAGATTGGTGTTAATTTACAACCAATATTTGCATCAACTCACATAGTTTAAAGTTATTTTGTTTACTTGACTTTAGTTTACTTCTATCAGTTAAAATTCAGTTTATACGTAGGTTATAAATCATGCAAAATAAGTTGTATTATTACTATTAATGTTAGCATTACATAAACATACAATAATACGGTTATTGGCATTGGCCCGGTGGTTAGGGCGCTCGACTCGCAATCTGCAGGTCGCAAGTTCGGATTCCTGTCCCACCAAACATGCTCGCCCTTTCAACCGTGGGGACGTTATAATGTGATGGTCAATCCCCCTATTCGTTGATAAAAGAGTAGCCCAAGAGTTGGCGATGGGTGGTGATGACTAGCTGCCTTCCCTCAAATCTTTCACTGCTAAATTAGGGATAGTTAGCACAGATAGCCCTCATATATCTTTGTGCGAAATTCAAATCGAATCAATACAGTACATTACCTCCTCTCACATATATATATATAGCTATTCTCGTTCAGTGCTGCCCTCTATATGCACAATTGTTTTGCGCATGCCACAAACCTTGAAGCTCCCATCCATCTGAAAATTATCCCTTTCAATGAATCTCGCATGCAAATCACCATGCGACAACCCTCTACTAATAAGAGTGCGACATACTCTCTTGACGCATGTGACTCCCTCTATTCAATTTTATCGAACTATCGCTTCTAGTTTGGCAGTACTCGTGTTGTAATGTTTATTTTGTGCTCTCTTCAAGTGTTTTATTTTAATTTTTTCCTTATCCCTGTATTAATTTCTATCGACAAGTTTTCTCATTATTATAGAATAGTGATATTTGTAATTTGTTGGAATTTTATATTTCTAACAGGTTATGGAACTTATTAGTTCATTACAAAAACTTGTTTCTTTATGCGAACATGGTTGTATTTGGTTATTCATTTTGCACTTCGGGGGTTATATGTTCTATCAGCACATTTACACAGGCTTCAGGTAGCGGTACTCCGCTGGAAGATTTTCGTCTTTACTACTTCGGGAGATTGATTGTCCAATGAGTTGACCTTCGTTAGGTCTCGCCTTGAGTTTGAGGGCCCACATATTTTGACATACTTTGGGTTCTAGAACATAATTTTCGTTAGATTGGTCGTTACTCATAGTCCAGTTCCGGTTAGAAATTAGCTTAGTTGCATCTTTTCTCCTATACTACTGATACCAGGGTTCTTTGTTATTTTAGGATTACCTGTAATTCATATTACTGGTATATCAATCATTCGTTTAACTATATTATTTTTCTTTCTTACATCAGGTCTCATACATAGGTTATTGTTAATACACACTTATTTCGTTTTATAAATTAAAGTTTATTTCATTTTCGTTATTATTTATCTTTTATGAATTATAGTTCTTCATATTAATTTAGTTTGTGTGGAACCCTTGAGCTGGTGTCTGCACTAACTTCTCCCAATATAGTACCTATTTATTGTTAGGTTAAGATATTTATTTTAGAGCTTAGTGATATCCTTTGTCCTGCACTGTTCGATTAGGCTTAAGTTAACACGTGTCTGTTATTTTCGGTTTGCCTGTAGTTTCTACTTTGTGTTAATCTCTAATTAATTTTAATATTTTGTTAGCTTAGGCTTAATAAGTCTGTTAATTTCGGTTTACCTGTAGTTATACTTCTGGGTTAATCGATAGTTAGTGTAATTATTTTGTTTTCTTCAACACATAGCATGTATTACATGTTTATTTCACTGCACAATTTCTTACCATTTTTAATTTATACTTCTTCCCCTTACTTTTGTTTTTGTGGGCCCTGGAGTATTGTTCGCCTTCCTCCTATAATGGCTGAACTAATTTCAGATGGACCAGATTTTGTAAGTTTTCTTGCACCTCATCATGAATTGCATTACAGGCCTCTACTGCAGAATCTGCTAGGCGTATCTCAATTTGTTTCACAGTATATTCCCCTTCTCCTGAAATTCTTTCATGATGATATTTCTGTCTCTTTTGAAAGTTGGTACTTCATCACTTGCAAGCCTCGCCCTATACAGGCTTTAATTCTTCTTGCCTTAGCTTACCATCAGGCAGATTTTCTTCTTGATTTTATGTTTTTCGGATATCTGTTAATCCTATCCATTTTCTCCCCTACCAAGTTTTTCAGCTTCTTATTACCTTTTCTACTCTCCTGCAGGTAATGTTTATTGCAATGTTTGAAGTATAAGAAATAAAACAGATGATTTTACGGCACTGGTAGGAGTGGAGGATTTTGATATAATGGGAATAACTGAAACATAGTTAAATGTAAATGATTTTGATGACGGAAATTTCTTTGAAATACAGGGTTATAGGCTATTTAATAGGGATGTAGTACTAAAGAAAGAAAGAGGAGTGGCTTTATTTGTAAAATGTGAGTTGCATCCTGTTGAAGTTGAGAATATTAAAGATAATAGCAAGGATATTGAATTCATTTGGGTTTCTATTAGTGGATTTAAAGGGGAAAGGCTTTTAGTGGGTATTTGTCACAGACCACCAGATGATACTGATGAAATTAGTGAGAAACTTTACAGTTAGATTAATATTTCAGCTGTCAATGAGATCATAATCATGAATTATTTTAATTTCAGGCATATAGATCGGGAAATTCTAGTCAAACCACGAGGGAGAAAGGTTTTTGTAAGTTGTTCAAGATGGTTTTCTTCACCAATTGACCAAGGAACATATTAAGAACAATGCTATTCTAGATGTATTGTTAACTTCTAATATAGAAATTGTTGAGAGGGTGGAAATTGGAAACATCTAGGTGCAAGTGATCATTGCTCTATTAGGTTTGATGATTTGCTGCATATGAAAATCGGGAATAATGATATTTAATTACAAATTTCAAAAAAGCAAATTTTAAAGGAATGCGACAAGAATTATCTGTTGTGATATAGGCATCTAAGTTATTTGGAGACACTAATCAAATGTGAAATTTTTAAGGATAAATTTTTAAATATTCAAAATAAACTTATCTTGTATCTGATGATTGAGATGGTTGAGTTATTAAATTCTACTTTTACTTCAGTTTTTACTAATGAAGATTTAAGCAGTATTCCTCATCTTGAATAGTTGATAGTTAAACATGGAATTTATGTTCAAACGTTATTTGTGAAATTAGACCAATCCATGAAAGTAGCAAACGTTAGGGAAGATACAAATTAACTCGTTATCATTACCTGGATTGGGTTTGGTGTTATTTTTAACAAATAATTCAAAAGAGCCCGCTCAACAATAGAATGCTACAACACTAAATTTTGTGTTATTTATATTTATTTGATTTCGCGCGAAGCTATTGAAGGGCTATCTTCGCTAACTGTCCCTAATTTCAAAGTGATAAACTATAGATTATACCAACAAAATTCTGCAATATCGTTTCTTCTCAGTTACTTTCATCAATGAAATATTTTATCATGAATAAACTGGAATTGTCTCCAATATTTATCAAGTTTCGTTAAGAACGTTTACGTGCGTCTAATTTATTGATTATAGGGTAATTGAAGAATGCCGCATCATTAGTGTTTGGCATTTTTTCTTTTTATATTAGTCTCGTAAGAACACAACCATTTTTAGTTAACTGAAAATACTATAGAAGAAGAAAACAAACATATTCTGCTTAATTTCTCTATGCCAGTCTCAGATTTTAATAAATAAATAGTTTTAAAGCAAAATAATTTGAATTTAATTATATTTTATTTCACGAGATTGCGCCACAAGATGATGAAGTATATACGTATCTGACTAAACTTATATCTATTATAATTCATGCTTTTTTGCTTTATCTAATAGTTTATAAATTATTCCAACTATTTTAACGTTAAATATCTGTCAATTTCACAATGAATTTTGGAATTTGAAAGTAATTTGGCTGCTTCATACATAAAATATAAGAAGAAGAAACTTGAATTTATGTGATCGTTCATACAACAGGAAAATAAAATAAAACGTATATATATATTTAGTCATCAGTTCTAGTATTACTTAAATGCATTTTTTCTTGAAATGAGACCACTTTAGTATTAATATATTAAAATCAATTAATAGAATTGTATTCTATTTGTTTGTTATTAATATTCAACTGCGAATTAGGGAGACATGTTTGCGTTGGTTCTTGTCATGACATAAAAGACTGTTTGGTTTAGATATTAGTGATTAATTAATTTTTGTGGGTGAATATTTTATCATTGTTTAGTTTTTGTTATAATAAGAGTTAAAAGCAGATGATTATAGAAAGTTTTGTTAATAATTCATTGACGTCGAGAATATAGAAAGCGGTCAGACGATTAAGTGATAGATACAAATAGCGTGAGACGAGCGGGAACAACAGACAGATAATAGCAAAAAGGAATAAAGTTGGTGTGAAGTTAACTACCGTAGAAGTGATAGGTCTAACAATTGACATAGGCCTAACGTTTAATATGTTAGTGAAACTAACAGTAGAAAAGAAGATAAGAAAAATAATTTTATTCAGTCAAAGCGCGGTTCTAAATAACTGAATCAGCCTGAATGCACTTTGACAAAAGGAACAGAGGATCTTCCAAGGAAAAGACCAAACGATTACGGTGACTCGCGCCACAATTGTAAGTAAATCACAGAGAATACTAGTGCGATAGAAATAGATTAGATAGTTTGGATTGTCAACCGAAATTCTAAAGTAATGGAATAGGCCTAAGTGGATATTTGACAAGAAGGAGAGAACTAAATATATAGTATTTATGATATGTCCATAATATATATAGTACTGAATAATTTATTTTACATACATTAACTTGTTTTGAATATATATATATATTATTTTGAAAACAAGTGAAATGCGTGCTGTTTATTCATCGTTGAATTTGTCGCTAACAAGT